GGCTAACCCGCCAACTCAACTGCCCGTCGTCTCACTTCTCTCTGTTCTATTTGCTTCATATATAAAATATATACATTCAAAAGTCCATTCTCGTTATTTGATTTATTTAATTCCGATATTGACTTACGTGATTTAAGTCGATGATTATATACGAGGATAAGCGACATATAAGTTCCAATAACGATCATTCATTACGATCTCCTTGGAGTCAGTTCTCGGGCCACTAAACTACCATTATATCAGCAATGGATTCTATTAAACCCACTTAAAGGGTATGATAATAACAACATCTTGCATTACCGAATTATCGGTAACGAGCTATGGAATCTAGTGCTTGTTTATTGGTTATCAAAAGATTTCTGTCCTGCTTCAAATATACTCTCTACTTGAGCATACAAAAGTCAAAATGAAAAGCAATAAGTCGAGGAATATGTAGCTTTGAAACTCATTTAAATCCTAAAATCTCTGTTGTCTGTAGGAAATGTCGTTTGTAAACTGCTGGGTGAGTATCTTTAACAATGAGAATATATTTCATGCTCTGCGTATCAGTCTTAAATAGATTAGCGAGAATAATCTCAGTTGTAATAATATCTAACTCAGGATTATTATCACTGTCAATAAACCATCAAGCTGAACTCAAGCTCAGGTGTTCACGACTTCTCATCAGCTATCTATGGAGAGATAGAACCGTTAATTCTAAAACAGCTACTCAAAATATTTAACCTATACTTAGAAGCAAGAACATACCCAGAAAAATTAAAGTAACATACTTAGTCCCTAAATATAAACCAGAGCCTTGAAACTTAGTCCAGAATTATAAACTAACAAATATCACTCCAGCCATTTAACGAATAATGAAAGCAATGATAAAAGATCAAATATCCGACCACCTATTATCTGTACGCCAACTTGAATCATTAATTAACACAAGACCGAAATTCTCCCTTAGACAAAAGTGCTCCGAACACTAAAATATCAAATTTACGAAGATTATTAGGTTTTATCTTAAGAGAGTTCTATCAACATAAGTCCAGAATCCTACTGTTAAACTTGTTCATTACTTAGCTATTTACTTACTTGCGCCTGTTACTCCTAATGGAGCATAGGCCACCTACCAGCATTCTCCAACCCATTTTGTCCAGCGTCAACTTTTCTAGTTCCATCCAATTCTTGTTCATCTTTCTCATGTCTATCTCCATTTTCCAGCGTAGCGTGTTCTTTGGTCTTTCTCTTTTCCTTTGCCCTTGAGGATTCCATGTGAGGGCTTGTCTTGTGACACAGTTGGGTGCTTTCCTCATTGTGTGTCCTATCCACTTCCAGCGCTTCTTCCTGATTTCTTCCTCCGCTGGGATCTGGTTTGTTCTCTCCCACAGTAGGTTGTTGATAATAGTGTCCGGCCAACGGATACGAATTATTTTGCGTAGACAACTGTTAATAAACACTTGTTTCTTCTGGATAATGGCTTTTGTAGTTTTCTAGGTTTCTCCCCCATGCAATGGAACTGTCTTGACATTTGTATTGAAAATCCTGACGTTGATGTTGGCTTGACGTGAGTTGTTTTGAGTTCCAGATGTACTTCAGTTGTAAATTTGTTGCTCTTGCTTTTCCGATTCGCGCCTCCACTTCTGCATCAGATCCATCGTGTTCATCTATGATTCTGCCCAAACATGTTCAATGATATCTCACAGTAAAATACAATATATTTAGACGCTACATTCTAGGACTCAAACTCCCAAGAAAAATAGGGCTTAGGACAGAACTGATGGGTTAGGTATTTTAGTATATTTAACTTCCTCATAGTCAAACTTAATACCTGTATGTTTGGTCTAAGTAACCCTTTTCTCACGATCAGAAACTTGCTCATCAGGCAGCGGTATAACCACGGATCGATACTATAAATATACCTAGATTATGTAGTTTAAATCGGATTTAGGTAAACAAATCAACACAAACAGAAGACTTACATAATTGTCTCTCATCATATCACTTGCTTATATGTGGCTCAAATCTCCCACTGACATAACATTTGATAACTCATATTAACCAATGGTTAATATGAACTGTTTATTGACGAAATTCTATCGAGTATAAATATTGTTATGAATATAATACATTTATGTGGAGAATAAAAAGTTAGTCAAAACCATGTAAGGACTAGATATACTGTGCATTTGAAAAAGTCCAGAATAATCTCAGTCACCGACGAAACTCAATCAAGAATTTAATTCTGAAGTAGGCACAATCTAATTATATTGTATTATTATGACAGAATAAGGCATAAAATAAGACATTTAATTGTATGATAACTGTAAAAACGATCCACAACAATAGATCTGATAAAGCTTTAGTATATCAACACGAACGTGACTTTGAAGTGATATGAAGTCGGGAAAATCTTTTTCAAATGACAAAATATGATTTCGTATATATTCATACCAGAACTAGTTTGTTACACTGAAGAACACTAAACGTTTGTATTTTGTTCTTCAATTAGTTCATGAAGGCTGAATCTATGAGTAATGTTTTTTATCATTCACTGAGTTCTACCTCCTATTTTGATGTTTTTCCGTTTACTTCGTAATCGAGTGCCAAATATTGGAGTTTTATAGTCATTAGGGATTCTACATCATTTAGGTAGAGCTCTACTGAACTATCGGTTACAAACACGTCCGATACCTCACAGTCAAAAAATAACAAACGAGAAATACAAACATATGTCAGAGGAAATCATTGGTGGCAAATACTTTATAATATGAAATATTTACTGATTTAATGATCGCCAAATGAACTTAAGTACTGGATATGATACACCTTTGAAGCATAGAAAACGTCTCACAAATATCATTTGATTTTAAAACACTTAGAATAAAACTCACAATTCAGAACATTATGGTTGAGAAATAGAATACAAATTCATGTTTTATGCAGAAGAAAACCTATGCAAATAATCTTCTTTCTGTGTCAACAATAAAAGATATTTATTTAGATGTTTTGTTAAAATGCAAACAAAACATTCCTTTAGATTGATCACATTTAGACTGAATTCATTATTAATGTGTTACGATACTTAAATGTAAGTGTTCATTTTTCAGTAAAGCTTTATATATAATTTACTATTATTAGAATAGTTAAAGTGTTACATTGTTTTTTACTGATTTATATTGTCTTCGTAATGAAGACAGTATTATTGAACAGAATAAATAGATTGAAATATGTGCATAAGGTGTGAAAATTCGGATTTTAAAAGATCAACATCTCATTCTACCCGATGATTCAACCCACAATTTAAGATTAAATAATCATGTGTTTATTGTTTAAGTGATTATGAATGCCACACAGATCTCATAAACATCACGATTACATCATTTGTTGACATTTTCACATTATTAAAGTCAAGGAGTTTTTGCGTTGTGTTCATTTGTTAAATACCTCACATACAGATGTAAGTTATAATTAATATTGATGGTTTTCATATTATTTTTAGTCAAAATACAAGCGTTGGCTATACTTTTGTACTGCAGTAGATTTCATTAGAATAATATAGAAATAAGAATGTCATGTTTTCTAATATTTGTCATCAAATGATCTCAGTAATAATTCTAGTAGAAACAAAGAAATGAAATGAATTGAAAAATTTGTTAGATGCCTATTATGATGGACTTCGTACCACAAACACTGAATTTACATTTCAAATGCAAAACGCGTTTAGGATGTCGTTGACATCAAAATTTTTATCACAAATAAGGAAAGTGTTGTCTAAGTATCTCTTGCATAGATAGAAGCTGTCATTTATTGGTCCAATGAATTGGCCTAATGAGTTAACTGAGTCAATCAAGTTTATTCTTTAGTTTCTCATAACTTGTGGCCTGTGTGCCTTGTTAATGCATAATGTGATGTTACCTACAATTAGAGAATAAAACTCACAATTCAGAACAGTTTGGTTGAGAAATAGAATACAAATTCACGTTTTATACAGAATAATATGATCTTGATCTGTCTACCCACTTTTGGTGCTGAGGATACTTATCTAATCCAGATTAAGACCTTGGAGCGACAGGCTGACCGACCTAACGTTGAGCCCGGTACACGTGAGTTCGAAGTGGGGTAGAAGGAAGAAAAATATTATATCACCTGATTGGCTGACAAGCACGCGAATGAGAAAAGACAAGACAACTGGAATACTACTCGATCTATTCCGATATCCCGATTTCTCTGAATTCAGAATAGTGCAAAAAGGTACGTGAATAAATAGGTGATTAACCCGACCACAACGTGCAATAATTAGGAAAAATACAATTACGTCCAATGCTGGGAATTAGAGTAGAAAATAGGGTGTAAAATATTATATTTAAAATACAGTAGCTTCGGAATTGAATAGGGTATGGTAATGAATCATATATGGAACGAAAGCTTAGGTTCCGTAGAATAGATTAGGTACAAAAGTAAATCTTAATGTTTTACAAGCTTTGAATAAAATGGAATAACGTCCCGAAAAATAGCTTTCGTAATTTGTTTCCCTGTACACGTCTCAGAAGAAAACCTACACAAATAATCTTCTTTCTGTGTCAACAATAAAAGATATTTATTTAGATGTTTTGTTAAAATGCAAACAAAACATTCATTTAGATTGATCACATTTAGACTGAATTCATTAACAATGTGTTAAGAATTGAAAAATTTGTTAGATGCCTATTATGATGGACTTCGTAACACAAACACTGAATTTATATTTCAAATGAAAAACCCAGTGCATTTGAACATATTGAAAAGATTTCAAATACCACCAAAATAAGATGTTTCTCATCTAAACCCGTTTTCTTTTCCAATGCCTTAATATTCCATGCATTCAACATTCTTCAAATTTTCCAGTTCTTTAAATTCTCAATAAGTAATATGGTCTTCTGTAGATGGAATCACAAAATATTCACGTATTTTCTATGAAACATGAAAGTCTATATTTATTGTTATTCAAAAAATGCATTTTGGTAAGTGTCAATCAACGACTAGATGTCTGATGAACACACTTAACAGTAAACTACTGAATACATATTTTTCGTTTAATTTACTATTCGCTGTCAATCACTAATCTATTACATTTTCCTTGTGATTTAAAACGGAATTTCTATTCACCTAGATGAGATCGACAAGATCTTCAAAGCAACATAAACTTCTTGGAGACTTTATGAACGTTCCAGTTGATGCACTCTTACGTTTGTCATGGATAATAATATTACTACCAAAATTCTTCCATTCACAAGCTCATGCAAAAGTCACTATTGACGATGATACTGGTTACTTTGTTGATTCACGAGGATTTATTAAATTATTTCATGGAATCAACTGTGTGCACAAATTCGCACCATTTTACTTTCCACAACTACTTGACCCTCACTTATTCAGAGTACTTAGAGATTGGGGAATTAATGTTATACGCTTAGAATTCAACTGGGTTGCATTAAAACCACAGGAAGATGAAGTCAGTCAACACTACTTGGATATCATTGAAAGGATTATCGACAATGCTGGATTATATGGAATTTATATCATCATTGATTTGCATCAAGATGGGTTATCGAGACGTCTAGGTGCAATTGATGCTGTGCCTAATTGGCTTATGGATAAAATAAAGCGACCACCATATTTATTCCAATACCCTTGGCCACTAAAGAAAGATCCAGGTAAAAATAACTGGTTTCTAACCTACGTCACATATGAGAGTGGACATGTATTTGAAAGTATATATAAAAATGTTTCAGGAATATGGAATTATTTTGCAGAATATTGGAGGATAACAACTAGTCGTTTCGGGAAGAAAGATAATGTTTTAGGTTATAATTTGATAAATGAACCGGCACCTGGAAATGTTTATAAAAATCCATTCCTTCTTTTGCCTAGTAAGTGACAAGTATGCAATATTTTATTAGTATTGTTTTTGAACATTTTTTATCATATTGCTTTATTCATTATTTCATGCCTTTTGACTTGATTGAAGATTTTGTTTTCACTTCCAAAGAATTCATTCAAAGCAATTGATTCTGAAGTCGTTGGATGTTTATTCATTTATAAATCAGTCAGGTTTTGACTTGTCTGCTATTTATCAGACTTTCCACTAAAATTATCATCTTAAATCTACATGAAAATAAATAAAGTCAATACGCACATCAGTGTGCATATTTTCACTTTTAGAAGTGCACGTTTTTGTGATAAACTAATACAGAAATATGTTTCAAGAGTATTGTGATAACTTCATGTCGTATCACCTTTGCAATAAGTTTACATTACAAGATCGGCATGTCATTCAAATAGTTTACAAATTTCTTTTACACCAAGGTCAATTTAATAAATATCATTAGATATTATTTTTACTAAGTGAAATTTTCCTGCAGGAATCGGTACTCACTTTTCTTAATGTATTTCAAGGAATGAAAGTAGCTCAAAGTATTCAATTAGTCAGATGGTTTTCAATCCACTCTCTTTGTTCACATATTGCTGAGATAGTTAGTCTTAGAATTAACTAAGTTCTCATTATTTGTTTTCTATGAATTCTTCCCCTAAGTCAAATGTTCAGGTTTTAGCTAAACTATGGAGTGAAACCTTATTCAGAAAGGTTAACGTTTAATTATAACAATTATTTACAACATATTTTTAACCTGGATTTTAGTCATTAGACAAAAATTCAGCAACAGTCATACCCATTAAAATTGATGGAATGTGATTAAGTTTTAATTAAAAATAGTCACTCAAATCTAATTAGGATGGTTTTGGGAGTAGGCATATATCGGTTTTTCAGGCTAACCCTTAGAGTTAATAATGGATTTGGTTTTGACACAATTGCAACTCACGTGCGATTGAGTTTGTTCACATTTAATTTGGTTAAGGTACTTTGTTAACTTATTTAACTGGCAGAGTCATTCGTACAATAACAACTTATCTATATACTTATCTATGTATATTTTAGACAACTGATTTCAGCAGTTCAAGAAAGAAATTTGATTTTGCAACCATATCTGAACTAATTCTCATTCATTACTTTGACATCTATCCAAGCTAACAGTTTCCAGTTAGTTTTTGTTTGAAGCAAGTCTCGCTTATTCATTCATCGGAGTAAATATCGTGGGTTATTAATCAAACCCTAACAATACGAAACCTGACTCAATCGGAATTATGAATAAGTTATTTTCGGATTAGAATATTGTCTTGATAGTATCTGTAACGAAAACCCAACATATAGAGCGGCTTCTGACTTACATTATTCTAGCCAGATATAAAAAGTCGATTCAAACACATATTTATGTTAGTTTCAAAAGAAATTTGCTGATTGATACAAATATATAAAACGACCACTCTCGCTTCATCTTGTCTTGAGTTTCACGTCGCTTTGTTCTTGACATTGTTCGGATGTGAAAATATCTCTCATATTTTGCAACATGCCATTGTGACAATATCTCACTAACAAACAAAATTATCAGTTTAGAGTTGTGGAAACTGTCGAGTTTCTATTGAAAACCTTGAATCACTGGATGGCCATTTCGTCTTAAAACGTGATTTCTCAACAGTGCGCGTCCCGCTTGCAGGACCATGGATGCTCACTGCTGACAAGTCAAATTTCAAGACTGAACGGCCTTCCAGTGCATCCAGGTAACCAATGGTGATCTGACATTGGTCGGTTCATTACCTCAATAAAAATGAAATCGCAAAACATAATTATGCAATCTAAACTTGTGATTGATAATAAGCAGCTATCACATAACTCATACGTTTCATACGAATTGACAATATTTGAGTAGTTCTAATTGCAATCAGATTCTAGAGGCAAGTGATCAATCGTAGCCATGGTTATCAATAAAATATTTACTAAAGCAATTAAACGAACATCTTATCAGCTTTAACCTGATTCATCCAGAAGCAGCATCTGGCGACTGCAGTATTGAATAACATATATCTGAATATTAGAAAGTAGATGATAAGCATAAAATTTATAATATCATAATGACAACTAATATCAACAGGTGAACTAACAACGAACAAAACGATTTGTCTATTGTCTTTAGCTATTCAATATTTTGTTGGTGATAATTTAGAACACATAAATAAATGGGCAAAAAATGATAGTAATATTGATCATAATGACAATCGTATTAAGAATAAAAAGATGTTATGTAGAACTATGTTACGTGTTTATAATTTCAGTCAGCGTGATTTCGGAATTCGCCATCTTCATTATTACGATTATCACTCATTCTGTCTGTTTTTCCACCGTGAATGTAATCAATAAAACAAACATCGAGATAAGATCCGCCAAAATGAATTGACTTACTCATTAACCTATACTATGCATGATGCCATGTCGGGCGATTGATTTGTTCACGTCGTTTAATCTCAGAAGAAGACTTACAAATGAGGAACATTTTGTAATTATTAGAAGAGAATTGATTTCCCTTTTATTGATATTCTTAACTTGAATACAAACACGAAGGCTTAGATGTAAGATGACCCATTTAATAAGTCCCCAATAAAATTGAACGAGCGTCGTGAATTTCATTACTTACCACAATCTATCTTCCCGAAAACATTCTATCTGCAACAGATATGTGTATTTTTGTCAACTTTCACTTATATTCATTCTCAAAATCTATTTCAATTATTACAATTCCGATCTTTTTCATTTTATATTCGGACAGATAATGCAGGTCCCAATCTCTTATCATTTTATGATTATTTGGTGAATGTTATTCGCCAAACAGACAAGAATACATTGATATTTTACGAGAGTGTAACTTATGGAATATATTTTCCATTTGTTAATGGAATACCTGGTACTGGTATCCGACGTGTTCCCGGTCTATTACAAGATGAGATGGCCAGAAAGAAGAGTGTATTATCTTATCATTACTACTGTTGGTTATTGGAATTGACACTATCTACAAAGAATATGCCATCATGGAAACGATATTTGTGTGATAAAGTGAGAGTTCAATTACTTGGTTTATTGTTTGTAACGCATATGCATTCCAATGTCTAGATGCTTTAATATCAACATTAACCAACTGATATTTTTTAGCATAAGCTAACTGGCTTTCATTTTATTCGTAACTTGATTATCAGACTTGACTGGAAAATTTTGAAATCTGTTGTCACTCATAATAATATTTTCTAAATAAATAAATGATTGGATCTATATTCGGAACAGCTTCATTCAATCAAGTTAAACGTTGAAGGACCGCTGACCGAAAGTATTTTCATAATAAAATGCTATTTACATTTCACACCATATCCTGACGTTAACCAGACAACTATTCACTACTCTGTAGGGAGTGCTTAAAACCCTACCAGAAATCAAACCTAAAGCCTTAATATGTCTTAGCGAGTGCGTTTTCAGATAAGCACTTTAGCATACGATGATTGTCAATTTAGCTTCAGTCAGCTGAATTCCTTGCGTTATTGTCAAGCCCAAAATTTAATTATTTGAACCAATTTCATATAGGAAGAACGCCATTGATTATTGGATGTGAGTTAAGCAACATAGAATCCTCGATATTCTGTTAAGTTTTTGCAAGCACCAATCATGTGAAAGTAGGCTTTAGCTTCAGTAATTGATACCTCTCTTGAAAATATTATAAAAATGAAGCATTAGATCTGCTGAGATTTTACTCTTGATCGCCTCATTATTAGATATATGCCTTTCTAAATATTTCAACTAATGTCGATCATGATATTAAAATGATTGATTGACCACTCGAATCCTTTAGACCACGAATATTTGTTTAGTCGTAATTCTGAGGTGCTTCACAATTTCCACCTTTAAATAGTTTGTTAATGCCATTGAGTTACTTGATGACTTATGAAAAGAGTTATCTGTTGGTTTTGGTTTGTTAGTCCTTGACAGAAATTTCGAAGCGAATTTATCTCTCATCTATGTAAACGCATGGAGTTATTATCACACACGTTTCATTTATATAGCTGACCATTTTCAATACGCTTATTAGATATGTAAATATTGACTACGGAATTAAATTTGAGTGAACTCAGGCAATTACTTGTAGCTCATTTTTGTTCCCGAAACCACGTAGCACACTAAGAAATTTCGCTAGATCCGAATTACAAATCGTTAAGCCATATCGACGTTGAGATATTTGTCATCTATGACATTGCACGATCATCGAGCGCCATCGTGAATTGACTTAACAGTAACATTTAATGAGTTATATTTTATGTTAGGGGTCTACATTTCCATTTCCTACCTTCAGGGATAAATGTTTGTGCTCTAACATCTGTTGTAATTGTGTGTGATTACTCCTGAGGTGTTCCGCTATAGGACGATGATTCATATAAATATTTCTTGTTTTATGTAATACATTCACTGATGCTGATCCTCTGTGGAAACCAAAGCTTTCACAAAGATTAGGTTTAATACCAAAAATAGAAATAATAATAATTAAAATAATAATAATAATAATAATAAAAACAACACCAAAACATTCACGTACTTCAGAATTTATTTACTTAGAATTGATTGAAACACTTCCATATACTAGCTCATATTTATCAATTACCAATCACCAATTCATTTATTTTCACCATGGAAATACTCTCAGTAAACAATATGATGATGAATAAGTTTGCAAAATTGTTAGAACGATTGTGTACTTTGTAATTGATTAAAACAAGTTAAATAAGATGAGAGCTTTCTACATTCCTTCTATAATGGAACACTAATTATGTTCTATGAATCATCCTAACTAGCAAAATTTATAGTAATGGGTGTGTCTGATGTTGGGCGTAGATGAATAAACAACAATGACGAATAATGCTATATAGCAATGATAAGTATGAATTCTATCATCTAAGTATTCTTGAGATATAGTGAATTAGCCAAAGCCACCTATAAACTAACACTGGAAGTGGAAATATAAGCATTGGATTAATATGTATTTTGTGTTATCTTTCAAAGTTAAATCAGTTATTTTGTGGCCATGATTAAACTCAGTCATTTATTGAAACCCATTCATAAGCACCGTAGGATTTTGCACGCAAATGTACACATGTTCTGTGTTGACATAATCTCCAGTTTATGAAGTGAAGTGAAACTCTAATCTGATTAATGCATCGATAGATACAAGGGCAAGTGCAATTCTATTCTGTTATTCGCACCAACCTGTATGACATCAATTGTAAAAATAAAATTGACAAACACGTTATTTTGTTTGCTTCGAGCACCCATTTGCGGACTGCACATACAGAATGTATGATGTTAGACAAAATAGTGAGCATTTCATTTAAAACACAAATAGTAGTTGCAACTGATATGGATAAATGTTTAATGTGTCCTTAATAAATGATGAACTGATTGGGGTGAACAAAACACCAGAAAACAAACTGAACTTAATTAAAGTACTGTAGAGTGATCTAGGAACGAAAATCTAAACACTACGATTTGACATGAAAACTGTAATTAATAGTAATAGGTGCTAATTAATTTATAAAATAAATGTTTGATGATTGAATGAACTGACATGATGTGATTTCATGAATACACTACCAATCAATGTATTCAAACCGTCCTTCATACTGTGTGGAATTTCGTAACTGATTTCATTCTTCATATATTTTTGGTGATGGTTGAATTACTAAGTTTGAATGGACTGAAAAGCTTTATAGGTTTTAGCAAATCGGAACATTAGTGGAATGTTTTGTTTGTGAACAGAAGGGGATTTATGTGGATTTCCATTAACATAGTGGTGCATAATAGTAACACAAAAGGAGTGATGCTGAAGAGATGTCACTTTCATGTATCAGTTCATTTCCATCTTATTGAATTCACAATTAGGAGTTATGTGAATTCTTATTTATGGATTATCAAGAAATGACTGGTTTTGTGATTTGTAGAATTGTTTAATTTCCCTACCACCCACGTTGTAATCAAACTACATTATTCGAGATTACTCAATTTTATGCCTCCCGTTCTCACTCAGTCAAGTAAAAATTCGTGAACGTAAATACAATGATAACCATTGAAAATTGGAGAACATTGAACGTCTAATGATTTGCGATTTGTTACGGCTCAGTAATAAATGTAATCATTGATAAGTCAATGAACAAAATGATTAATGTGTTATTGCTTTGACGCAGTGTACGCAGTTTATTGTAGTCTAATTTTATTGCAATAATCATTCACATACTTAATCAATGTTAACATTGATATTGCTTGTGTTTAGCTTCTCTTGAATTATGCATTCAATAATGTTAGAAGTATAGTTAAATACACTGGTGGAGGACGCTTTTTAACAGAATTCGGTCGGTGTCTTCCTGATGGCAATCCAGATTCAATAAATACGGTTGAATGTAACGCTGTGATGAATGCAGCCGACAGGAACTTCGAATCCTGGACTTATTGGGACGAATATGAATTATTTCCCGACTTAAATATAAGTAACTTTTTCGTAGGTCATATTACTGATAAATACCTTTTTCTGGATTTTTGTCAATTTTTTATTGGAGTCATTTTGTTCTGCACGCCAAACGAATTTATAATTCTCATTTTGGACAGCACCATCAGAATAAATTTAGGAAATAAATGGTATTTCCCATACTCGTATTGTCGTAGACGAGAACTCAGGTGGGGAAATCCAATTTGTTGTTTAGTGCACAATCACACGGTGGCTTTGCAAAATATAGAAATCACACATATATAACATTTACACATCTTTGCGTTGTCCTTTACATAATCCATTATTCCTCTAATTCTGTTGCTATTTCATTTCCACTCCGATTTCCTTTCTTTTCTCTTCATTTCAATCTTCTGCTTTCAGTATTATATTTCCAATTGTTCCTACATACTTCTTAAAACTGTCAGCATACTAAGCATCCACCAGATTCTTCCCCTCGCCCTCCAAACGGTCGCTCCTGTAGATGTTTTGCATGCCGTGAGGCTTTCTTTTTTAAACCGAACGTCCCACTTCTTATCGGCATCGACAGCGTCTAGTACACCCAACACCACGCTGCCAGAACACTCCACTTTACGTCTACTTCCTAGGCCGGATCTCACAAACTAATCACTCATTTCTCGGCCTCCCAACGGCGTCCGCAGAACTGCATCCTTTCCGCCTCCCCTTTGGTAGTAATACCAAGTGTAGCGAACTCAAGTGAGGAAACCCTGATAAACTCATAGAGGAAGATTTCACCAAATTAAATGTTTTATGTTTATGCTTTCGATTTCGAGAATTTCTCTTAGAGCTTAAACAGCCCACACAAAATAAAACTACTAATAAATTAAGTGATGTATAGTTGAGGAAAATGTTAACATGACAGTAAATAGTGAGTTCAAATACGTTGTATATTGGTTATAAAATTAAGCATTTATGTTATCTTATTCACAAAGGGCTTAGTCGGCGATTCAAACAATTAATTTGTAAGGAACATATTCTGAAATCCGTCTTCCAGTCCTCATTATCTACATTCTGCTTGAATTTCATGTTATCCGAAATATTACAGTTAAGTGAACAAGAACAGAGAAGGAATTTATGCAGATCGATTTATCAAGTACGCGTAACTGAAAAACTGTGATACACCCACCTAGTGTACGGTATTTGCTCTCCTGTAAGTTTCTTCATATATCAGATCTCCAATCAATATTGAACAAATAAAGTCTAGTTAATTCCCGACTGTCCATTGATTACCTCTTTAAGTATTACTATTACTACTCTCTAAACTTAACTGTTTAAAATATTCTTCAGAACTAATGACCTCAGTCATGTTGGTCCCTGTTACAATCAACTGTCTCAACAATGCTTTCTTCGTTTATTTAATAGAATTCTAAATACCCACTCCCGTTATTTTGTATGGAGCAGGAACTATTATAGTCCACTGACTAACCAATGCATACGTTTTCTTTTGTGGGTGATTCTCACTACCATTACATGACTTCAGAGTTTTGCAGTTCAATCAAAAAAGATTAGTTGTAGAAAAAACAAAGAATGAGAGAAACTAACCACTATTCAAATGTCTTTTGTCTAAACACACATCTCTGTGATCGACAAATTTCCACTGTACACCATCACATGGTCAACAATCTTCTAAGATCATGTATAAGCGTCAGTTAAGAGATATCATAAGTTGGTGAAATCGAAAGCCTTCGTAAACTACTAAGGAATTCGACTTAGTAGAACGCTCAACCTTATAGAATTCACGACAATGAAACATGATTATGGAGTATTAATTATCGTGATGACGGTTTTTGAGTTGGATCTTTTCGTACACATTTTGTGTGGCCTTTGATTTCTCTGCAGAAATAATATCACACATACTTTCTTGTTCACAAATATTCACGAAAAGAGATTGTGTGAGCGTCCGATCGTTGATTTTCTCTTCTGAACTACATTTCTTTAACTTTTCAATACATATTAATGCTTAACTTTACAATTATACATTATTTTCCTCCCTCGTTTGTTTGGCTTTGGATAACTTCGGAAAACTCCAGTATTAGGCAATATCAAACTTTCGTTAACCGCCAGCATAACACGATCGTCTGCTGTGCTTAGTGAAAATATTTTCATCATCAGGTTACGATAACCCATTTCATGAAAACAAATCGAGAAAGTTTGTCATTAATAATAACACCCTAATGACCAAAGCTCAGTAAAATAACAATTGATTTAAAGAATTCAGTACGTTTCTGATAGTTTTTTACAATGTCATTTATGGTAGAGTTCTAAAGTAAGCTTATAAACAAAAATATCTGGTCGAAAATCATCAACAGCTGACTCCATTTCAGTGGTGATATTAATTTTAGAAGAGTCATTTTACTTCTTACTGCAGTCACATAACTACTTAATCATTAGTCTTTGATCATTCATGTATGTCAGATACGATAAAACACTAATTAGCCATGGTTGGCTTAGAAATATTTGAATAACTATTTCATCCTAGAATATCTCTCCAAAGTTTTCTTACTTCCTTTGGCTATCAAGTTATCAGGTCATGATTTACACTGTCTTCAAATTGAATAACTTGCATATGTATTTCACATCAATGCAGTAGCTTGTTTCATTTCGTTATTTCTTCTATCTCATGCAGTTGAAATCATTCAGTCGTACATATCCACAATCAACTGCCGGTCAACCTGTCAAACTGAGATTCGATGTCGATTCAGGTGTGTTTTATTATGCTTTTGTACCCACACAGAAGTATTGTACAAACGTGGACGCAGCATTGTTAGTTGCAGAGATTTTTGTTCCAATGTCGATTCATTATCCATATGGAGTGAGAACTCGTTTTGTACCAGAACAATTATATTATAAAATGTATGAAAATAATACTAATTTAATGTTTGTCTATGCACCATGTACGTTGATCAACACAAATATTGAACTTATGGAAATAACGATCATACCAAACCAAACACAAGATAAGCATTCAGACAACAATTATAGTCATTTACCAACTTATTCGAAATCTGTATCAATATTGTTAATTGTGAACTCCTTGATATTTTCACATCTTTCAACATATTTTGACTAAACTAAAGAAATTTTACTTCATATAATGTATCAAATTTACTTACATTTTCACAAGTTACCTACTTGTACGTCAGAAAATGTAAAAACATGTATATATTACATGCAAATTAAAATTACATGAATTAAAAATGAATGCGCATAAAGATTACTTAGGAAATATTAAAAAAATAGCGTATAGCAAGAAGAAATTAGCGAAATACAAGAATGAATAATCGGTAATAATTGAATATTGACAAAAAAGAAATTCATTAGTGTTAGGGATAGGGTCAGCGTTGGGCTTTTGTGTTTGGTTGTAGTAAGCTCATTAAACTATTGTATTATTTTAAATAAAAACAATATATTTGTAATATCCCAATGAGTAGAAAATTAGATTTTCTGACGTTTCGTGACTTTGTATAAGTCACTTCTTCAGAGAATCATTAGGGTCTCGCTTTGGTTTGCTTTGCATCCCAAATCATGTAATGTCTCACGGTTTTATGGCTTACCAAAAGTTCATAAACCAGATATTCCTCTAAGATCGATAGTAGACTTCACAAACACCCCAACATATGCATTATCGAAATATTTAAGTAATATATTAAAACCACTACAGCTCAACCTACATAATATAATTAAAGACACATATGACTTTAAATCAAAATTATCCGGATTAATCATCGAGAAGAATGGAATCATGGTAAGCTTTGATGTCGTTTCTTTATACACAAGTGTTCCCATTGATAAATGCTTAGAATTCATTAGTGGTTTACTTGAGAACGACAATACTCTTCCTGACAGATGCCCGCTGAGCATCAGTTTAATCATGAAATCCTTAAAACTTTGCTTAAATTCAACGCTATTTACTTTTAATGGTATGTTATTCAAACAAACTAACGGTGTGGCAATGGGATCCCCAGTGTCCCCGATTGTAGCCAACCTTTTATGGCATACATAGAATCAAATATCTTCGCCCACAACATTATACCACGAATTTGGCTTAGATATGTAGACGATACATTTGTTGTTATAAAATAGACTCATCTAAGATCTTTTTCTAAACGAATAAATACACTTTCATCACACATTAAATTCACCAATGAAAATGAAAATGCACATGGTGAGCTACCATTCTTGGATTGCTTAGTAAAAAGAAATCCAAATGAAAGTCTAAACCTATCCATTTACCGAAAACCGACGCACTCAAATCGTTATATTGACTTCCATTCAGCACATCCTTTCAGTGCTAAGATCTCGCTAGCCTTAAATCTTTTTAGAAGAGCTAACAGGATCATCACATCAGAGGAAGACAAACGAAAAGAACAAATGAATGTAATCAGCATCTCCCAATTTAATAATTTTTCTATGAAGATTATTAGAAGCATATTAAAACAAAACAGTTTATTACGTTATAATAAAGATTCGAATGAAATGCCATGGATTGGTACTGCAGTTCTACCATACCGTCATGGCACAACAGAAGAAATCCAAAGAATCTTAAAACATCACAGAATTAAAGTATATTACAAAACAACGAACACACTACGTAATACATTAGTTCGCCTGAAAGAAAAAATTCCTTTCATGTCCACACAGAACTGCGTCTACAAATGAGGTTGTATCGATTGTGATGCCCATTATTTTGGAGAGTCATCCCGCGAAATCTTGACTAGAGCCAAAGAACATATTAGGTACACAAAGAAACCTCCTAACAATCCTGTAGAATTGAACCAACTTCAAATTAAATCGGAAATAGCAGTTCATACCATTTTCAACAACCACCAAATCGATTTTAAAAATATCAAAATATTGCAAAAAGGCTTTTCCAACTACAAAGAAAGGAGGGTAGCTGAGGCGTTCCATATAATGCTTAATCCTACTTCTCTCAATAGGAAAGAAGGCCTTACCATACATCCTACTTGGACCATCTATCCTAACCATTCAGTCTGATCGTATTTACAATTTCACACTTTCATATTACAAATTTAAACTCTATCCTTTCTTACCATAAAGGTCACACAAGTTTTCATTCTTAAACAATGCACACATACATACATACATACACAAATTTACATACATATCACTTATGAATCACGTTGACAGAAATGACAAGACATCAACATGTTCAGACCTGTTTTTGATTGATCAGATATTATTCTTGCATTGTTCCGTTGTACTATTGAAACTTGGATTAATTTTAATTTGGTAATTTATTTACTCTGAAGAAGTGACTTACACTAAGTCACGAAACGTCGGAAAATCTAATTTTCTACTCATTGGGATATTACAAATATATTATTTTTATTTAAAACAATCAACCCAATGCTCAATTTATTCGAAATCATCAAATCAAACCTTGGTAATGATACCTATATTGTATTATATGTCTGATCATTGTAATTTAGATACTCAATCCACTATGTAAATTTCTGTGTGAGTCTGGTTGTTACAACTACATCTCGGTCCTAAACCCAACTTTTCATGAGGCTTCATCGTAGCTGACGTCCTTGTTCCCATAATCGGTATTGGTTCTCTGCAATCGCATAAAATACTCGTAGACGTTATAGACTGGAAACTTGTCGTTGCCGATCATAGCAGTGAACTTAGAGGAATTACATCTAATGAGATGTCCATACATTTATGAATCAAACGTCAAATACATCAATTTAGTTAATCAGTTTCTGGACGCATTACGACCGAGTTTCAAAAGTGGCAAAGCGACACACCGTCGTACATCACATAAAGACAGAGAGACCACCAGTGTTCGTGAGTCCAAGACACTTTGACCCCTCTTGTCTGGTTCTGCAAAAAACGAATTCAACAAAATGATAGACTTGGGTATCATACGCCCCTCCGATAGTTCGTGGGCATCACCGCTTCATATGGTACTCAAGAAAAACTCTTCTGATGCAGCGGATGCACTATCGAGATTAAATATCAATACCTTCCCAATATTCGATATAAACTATCAAGATATAGCAAAACATCAAAAGCTCGACGCTGTTAATATCGACAGAGTAAAAACAGCGTTTTTAGAATACACTGAAAAACAGATAAAGACAAAACCGTCTGAATCCGCAGCAGAACAAGCACCATACAAACTACCTGCAACAAAAGATACTTCACATCAAAGTTTAGCGGCAACAGAAACTACAACGAGATCAGGAAGGAGAGTACACTGGCAAGATAAGTATGTAGCAACCACCATATTTATCTAGACCAAACCCTGAGATGGTTCTTATAACACTGTTATATCTGATCGTCGCTGATTGTTGTGTCGGAAACGCTTATCACTTATACTCGGAACGAAGGACCTCTGCAATTCCAACGACGCGAAAGTAAGAACACAAAGACAGGTATAAGTGAAGATTTGTTAGCCCCAAAACACTATGACGACGACCCTAGTCTAAAATACGCTCATTTATATACTGATTGTACACCCATTTTGATTAACAATTAGGATCAAATCACATATATAAAAAATACTTAGTTATAACAAATCACATACTAAGCATAGTTCATGTCAACTGTGTACAAGAATATCGTATATTATACAGGATAATAATAATAATAATTTATATTCTGAAAATAATAATTACAGAATTCACGCCAATTTACAGGCATGATCAATTTGATATCAATAGTAACATTAGATGTACAGAACAAACATGTGATAGAAGAATGTTTTAAGTATACTAGTTCAGTAGTTGTTCAGGTAGTACATATATTACAGCGATCCAATGCATCAGCCGGGGATTTTTAATATTTCTTAAATGGACAGCCTGTTGATTTATTAACGGAGTGATTAAGGTCAATTCGTGTGCCAGATCGAATTAATGATAATTATCTACAACTAGAAAAATTAAAACGAAAACAAAGAGCACGGAATATTAAAGCAGTATTAACCAAAATATATCAATTAGGTCTACCTAAATGCGTGTCATGTGACAGTGATATACTGTTGATGTTATTCAAATTAGTTAAACTTTCTGGGGACGGTGTTAGCATAAAGTGACAGCAAATAAATGGTTTTACTTAGGGAATGCACTAATAAAGATATCTAAACATTTAAAGTTTCTATAATATCACTTGTGGAATGAGATACACTTAAAGGCGCTAGACCATTCAATGCATTTTCAGAGGAGCAGTATGCATCGATGCAGCGAATAAACAATGTGAGTGATTTTATCGTGAGGATAGATTGTGGTAGGTTATTCCAGAGTCTAGAAAATTTACAGATGAAGTAATTGATATAAAGAGATGATTTAGAATAAGTTTGTTTCACTAGTGCCAAGGAATTACAGATGTCATAATGAGAGGTTTCTGCATATTGAATCGCGTGATCGGATGTAAACGATAGTTTATGAAGTAGTTTGAAGAAAAAGATAATATTTAGTTTGAGTCTCCTCCTCCATAAAGAGTCTAGCCCAAGTTTGTTACATCTAGAATTATAAGTTAAGGTACAATCAGCTCCAAGAATACGAAGTGTAAATCGTCTCTGTACTAATTCCAGTCTTAATTTACCCTTTATGAGCGCACTGCTAAGAATAAACGTGCAATATTCTGGAAGAGGTCGAGCACAAACTTTGTACATTAGAATACGAGACTCAGTGTTGTAAAGATTTCGAGTTATGTAACCTATTAGACGTTGAGACTTAGAGGTCTGTTTTAATATATGTTATGTAAACGACAAGTCTTGGGAATATCTAAGTCCTAAGTCTACTACTGTATGTAACCTAGATAATACTACTCCATTTATGGTAATATCTAGGTTGAGTGATGTATCGCCGAAGCATATCCATCCACATTTGCCCGTATTAAGCTCCAGTTGCCATTTTAAGCACCACTGTGCTACCTTGTTAAGCTCCATACTGATGCAATTTTGCATATTTTTCAGGTCATGTGGAGAAAATGAATATACTACTTTAAGATCATCTGCATATAGAAGGGGCTTACCGACACAAAAACTTTCACAAATATCATTGATAAACACTAAAAAGAGCAAAGGACCTAAGACACTACCTTGTATTACACCACTTCGAACAGGGACAGCGTTAGACAATGAAGAGTTAATTTTAACTATTTGATGTCGATTGCCGAGAAAGGAATCAAACCAAGCAAGCAAAGGATTTTGAACCCCATAAGATGCGAGCTTACCTATAA